TTGGTGTTTGCTCTCAGGGGGAGATGATTGTGCAGGAGACAAAAGCTAATCTCACCACGTGGAATCCTCTCAAGGACCTGATCATCAGAGTGTGTGTGCTGAACTCTGCAGGATGTGGTCCCTGGAGTGAACTCTTCCTGCTGGAAGCCCAGGAGGTCATGGGTGAGTGTCTGCTGCATTCCCTTCACTTCAGGGGAGAAAAGAAGTCAGAAGTGCTGTTTTTCCCTGCCTCTTTTCAGTGCTTACAGCTGACTGAGCCACGTGGCTTTACACAACAGCACACTTCATCAAGCCAAGTAGAAAGTAAATAGTATTTAGAGAGCTGGTATAAACAAAACAGCTTCTGGTTGTTAGAGTGTTGTCTTTAACAGAGTTGCTGCAAAGCAGGGCAAGGGGAGACACAGTTGAAAAGGTGCAAATGGAGGTGTGGAATCCTTCGTTTAGGATTTTTTAGATATTTACAAGAGTAAATGTGACAGAAAACTCCTCTAACAGGTTCTCTGATTTAATTTGAAGCCATTCCTGACTACTTTTAGTTGAGCCTGATTTAAGCCAAACGTGGAAGGGTTTGTTTGAAGCCAAGAGCATGCATTCCTAGTGATAAAGGGGAGTTAGGCTCATCTGCACTGGCTTGCTTGCTGCTTGTGCTTCACAGTGAATGGGAAATGGGATTCAGGCTATGGAGAAGGGCAGGATTTTGTGTGCAGAGATGGGTTGAAGGGAGAGAAGAATGCTGCTTGTGAAGGAAACTAAAGCAGCTAAGAGGAAGAAGTTCTGAATGAAAATACAGATTGGTGATAAGAAGTCAGTGAGGTGACTTCTCACTCCACATGTCTTTTGAGGAATCCCATGGCCATTGATCCCTCCACACTTAGGGATGGCAGGAGGACCCTGGAGGGGGGTTCCCAGGCAAGCAGGAGGTGGGGGTTAGGGGCAGAGTAACCAGGAGAGGACTGTAGCTTTACTTGCAGTAGTGCACCTAGCACTGATGTTAATGTGTCGTTACTCAGAAAGGCCCCTTGGCAGCCTGGTTCCTGTGGTGAAGTCAGGACTGAGGGTTGTGTGTGAACATCCAGTCACTGTGGGATCAAAGCCCTCAGATTATTTAAAGCAGAATGAAGGGGTGTGGAAGTCCAGAGCAGACTCTACTGGAAGGTGGTTATCAGCTCCATCAATTTTTTTTTTCCCCCCTGCTTTTTGCTCAGGTATTTTCTGTGGCACCCAAAACCAGAGAAACCTACCTGAAAGGGCTAGAAGATCCCTTTGGAAAGTGGCCAGCACTGGCAAGAAGCCCTAGGGAATGTACAGGATTTGCATTTTACAGGGAGCTGGAATGGGATAATCCTGAAAACGTGTTTGCTTTGGTTTTATTTACAAACCACTTCAAAAAAAAGTAGCATGAGGAGTGGTGTCTGAAAGCACATAGATTTCTTCACAAGCATTACAGGCTGGAAATAAAGGTTCACTGTGGAAACACTGACAGGCCCTGAAGAGCAGAGCTGCAGAAAGACTGCAGTTTTGTTTCAGGCCTGGTAGAAAATACAAGTTGCTTCCTTTCCTAAAATAGAAGACTGGCACTGGTTGCTTTGTGAGAAATGCCAGGGGTGGTTTCTGACCAGCTCCCAGTGCAGCACTCAGGATGACTAAGCTCCTATAAACTTTAAGTCGTATTTGTCATCACAGCAAAGCTGGTGGGAGCTCCACCCTGCTTATGCAGAGATCTAGTGTGCTATTAACAAAGATGGTTTTAGCATTTTCAGAGAGTAGAAACCTCTCTCTTTCACTGCAGAGAGAGGAACACAATGGTCTAAGAGCTTCCTGCCATTTATGGTCGTCATGCTTGTCTGTGGGAGAAGACTCTTGGATTATGTTCCTTGCACACCTTTGTGATACACAACCTGCTACTGAAATAAAAGAGGTTCTGTCATCATCAAAAGGCTCCAAAACACTTGTTTAACCTCATCTAATAACAATCTTCTCTCTGCCTTGTGCAGTCTTAACTTAGGCTGGTTGGAAAAGGAGGGTGCAGGAGATGGGAGAGTTGGGGGAGCAGAGGCAGCCTGTTCTTTCCTTGACCTGCAGCCATCCCCTCTAGCTCAGTGGATTTCAATATTCATTTCTATTTCTGACACATTTGCTGTAAATTGTGGGATGGGCTCTTGATTCCTAGAAGTTTAGAAACATAGAGAATAAATTAGTTTGGGTTTGTTTTCATTCCTCCTCCTTTTGGAAGAACCCCTTCAGAAGGTGACCTAAATCCCTGCTCCCTCACCAGGCCAGCTAGCAGACAGAGACTGAAAAAACAGGCCAGGAGAGGTTTGTCTCACCACAGGGGGAAGGAAACCTTATTGTTAACTATCAGAGAGCACCTTTTACTTCAGTGTTTTTAATTGTTTCTAGCCTGATTATTTGGCAGGAACAGCCCAAGCGATTGGCTTGAGAATTGTGGAGAGGATTGGAGTTACCTTTTATTGTATTTTCATTCCACTTCTGTTTCTGATCCCTCTGCCTTCTCATCAGCAACCTTGAAGGCTGGGTCAAAAGGTGCAGCAAGAGGGAGTGTCATAAAACCCAGAGCCTGTAAAGCCTTCTGGGTGGGAAAAGAATATAGGAGTCAGTGAGTGAGATAAGGTGTTGGAAAATAGGTACTAAAGCTCTGATAATTTGTTTCAAGTAGAGGAGTACTAATCTGCTTCCTCAGTGATCCAGAATTCTGTTTACTTAATCTCTACCTGTTCATTAGACTAACATTGCTTCCTTAGAAACTTGGGTGATAAGGCTCCACAAGGTAACTAGAAATGGACCCTTAGGGGCCTTTTGCCTGACAGGACTCTGCCAGTAAGGATATCTGACTCCTTTTCACATCTGTGCAGGGGTTCATCCAAATCTCAGCCCATTAGCCTAACATCCCTTTTGAGGACAGGTTTACATGACATATAACATGATGGGATTACTTACATGGACAAAGATTATTCTTTCTTAGCTTCTGGTGAAACACAGTCAACTGCTGAAGGTGAGCAAGGAAATTTGAACATGAAGGAGGTGCTGCAGAGACCTGTTCCCTGTTCTTGTTTGCTCTTAAACAATTTGGAGAGATGAGGGCCATCCTAGGTTTTAATAAACCCATTCAAATTCGTATTTAATCGTGAGTAATTGTATTTGGAGAAGAAATCTCTCAGTGAATTGGATTAATTTATCTGTTGTTTGCCAAACACAGATAATATTCTTTTATTCATAACCACATTGCTTACCTTCCTTCCCTGGCAGCTTACTCAGATTGGCAGCATCTCCAGTTCTTCTGCAGACAGTTTGTAATCAAGAGTGTACGTATTCTGGGAGCAAATATTAGAGCAGAATTGGAACCTGCATGCTGACTGACTTATTTCTTGACTCACAGGGCATTTTCACTTGGGTTGAGAGACATTGAGAAGTTACAACCGACCAACACTGGGAAGTTACAGCCAATATCAAACCCCACAGGGTGTTTCCCTTTGTGGGAGGGATGAGAGGGAAATGTAAATATTTTCAACCAGATTGCCAAGAGGCAATTGTCTTCCTCTATTGTCTTTCAGAATGTTATCTGCTTGGCATTCAGGCAGTGCTGTGTAGACTGGTCAAGGTCCTGCTGGCTGCCTCAAACAGGACAAGGTGAAACCTGCACAGAAATTGCTCATGTTAAGCAACCTTTTTGTCCTGAGACTCCAGATCATGAGCTCATGGGACGCAGTATAATCTAGAGAGGTGCCTTTTACTTTTTTGAGGCTCAAAACTAAGAACAGGTTCTGGTAACTGGATGCATCTGCTCTGCCTGTGCTGTGTGGAACAGCTAGTTTTCCTGATGATTAACTGAGTAGCTGTTTCTGCCAAATTCCAGTGTACAATGACCCACTGTGTACACCAGCTCCAGCAGCGTGACTTTTCCATTCCAAAGCAGAAAGAAGAAATATCCCAGTATGGTCTGTTTACCATTGACAGTCCAGTCTTCTGTTTCCTAAACTGGTCTTTTCTTCACCATCTAGGTGGCCAGAGACAACCTCCTTATGGCACATCCTGGGTTCCTGTGGCATTGGGCATTCTCACAGCTCTGGTCACAGCTGTTGCCCTGGCTCTTATTCTCCTTCGAAAGAGAAGAAAGGAAACTCGCTTTGGGTAAGGGAGCTTCTCCTTGTGCTGGTTAGAGACATCTTTGCTTTCTCCTCTAGTGTGGTTTCTGACTCAATTATTTTGCAAGAACCATTGCAGATTGAGTGCTTCTGGCACTTGCTTTGGATAACTGTTTTTTCACCATTTTGGGGGTGACCCTGGCTTAGAGACTAACAGGAAAGTGCCCTGCACTTCAAAATGAGAACACCAAAAATACAGTGGGACAGAATGTTATGGCAATAGCTGGGCTTTTTTAGAATATGGAAATATAAACTAGATCAAGGCAATTCTAGAGGTCCATAGCACTGCTGCTTAAGAGATTTAAAGAAAAAAGATGCACAGATGAATCATTTTCTGTGTTTTTATGGACTGGGCCCTTCATCCCATGCTGGTTTTCAGTCTAGCAGCTGCTTGTAACTTCCTGACTACTCAGAACCCACTGAACCCCCAAGAAAGTCTCCTTTCCATCACCTGTGACACTTGGCTGTGGGTTGCTCCCTGCTGCAAGCAAGGTTCCTATTCTTTTCAGAGTCTCTCAGACCTCATTCTCACATCAGCATCTCTGTGTGACTCTTACAACCTGCCCCAACCTGCAGCTTCTCCCAGGTACTCAGGATGAGCCATTCCCCTCTTCCAGAAGGCTCCTACACCTTCTAGGTGCATCAGCAAGGCAGCAAAACCCCATCATTCCTTCTGTGCAGCTACACCCTCTTCAAAATAACAGTCTAGTATCTATATGGCAAGGGGTGAGAGATCATCCACACTGTTCAGCACACCCTTTTAGAAGTGAATGGCCCATGTAATCATGGCCCTGTGTGTCTTTTCTGCCTTCTAGCCATGCCTTTGGCAGCGTGGTTGGCAGAGTGGATCCAGCAGTCCATTTCAGAGCTGCCAGGTCTTTCAACAGGGAGGGCCCAGAGCTCATTGAAGCGACATGTAAGTAAAATGACCTGTGTGATTCTGCCTGGGAAGCTGTGTCCATGTGTGCACTGTGCTCTCTCTTTGTTTTCCCTGGAACTGCTGGGTTTGGATCAAGAACATGGGATGAATTTACAAGGAGGCTTAGATACTGTGTGTGGCAGAGGTGAAAGGCCAGAGTTGCTGTTGCCATACCAGTTACATAGACGTGCTAATTACAGCTGCAGTCGTGGTGTGCATTAGCACAAGGCAGAAACTCACCACTCCCCTGCCCCAGTTTCACACTGCAGGGACTCCTTCAGCTGCGTGCAGCAGGGAGAGAAATATGGCTTAACAATACAGTACACTTTAAACTCAGTGTGCTGAGCTGTGCTGCACCATGAACCAATTCATCAGTCCTGGAAAGCCAGGAATGAGTAACTTTTCAAACAGGAGATTGAGTTCCAGGAATGGCCAGAATGATCTGTTTCTGTCTCCTGGTTCAGCAAGGGCATGACTCTCTAGCATCACAGCATGGCTCTGTCAGGATGATGCTCCAGCTGCCTTTGCCTTTGCTTCCCTGGGTTTAGAGGTTTCTCCATTATATCTAGTGATGGTGAACTGTTGGATATTGGGTGGGGTTATCACCCTCACCCTTTCAGTACTGTTGGTACATTTTCTTGTGGTTGAAAGTTAGTTGGCCTCTTGTCTGTGGTGAAGCTAGAGAATGTGGGAGGGAACTCTGTCTTGCTCAAGTGTTCCTGCCCAGGATATGGGAATTGGATTGGAGCTGGGAACAGGTGACTCTTGATGTCATGACAGAATATTTAAGTATCCTGTATTTGACTCCTCCTTTTTTTGTGTGTTTCAGTGGAGAGCATAGGGATCAGTGATGAGCTGAAGACAAAACTCAAAGATGTCCTAATCCAGGAGCAGCAGTTCACCTTGGGAAGAATGTTGGGCAAGGGTAAGAACCAAAACTGAACAAGGCTTTATGTTCAAAGTCCCACTTGTGGTACCTTTACTGTTGAGTAGGGAGAAGCAATTCTAAGCAGCCTGTTTTCTCTCCTTCTGCTTGTAGATGGCAATTCAAATGGAACTTTCCCTTCTGCTGGGATAAAACATTTCAAAGGTTTAGCATAACTAAGAGGATATTGGCTAAGCCATTCCTGTAATATGGCTCTACAGAGTCATGAACTGCAGTCTGTGCTCAGCTTTCTAAAGCACTGTTGATTCACTGGTGTGTGCATTCCTTTCAGAGATTTAAACAAAGGAATATTCAGTCAAACTTCTGCTCTTCCTACTAACAAAGTGGTGCTATAGAATTCCTTCCACTTACATGAGCGTGCATCAAGTATTAAATGGGCTGAGACAATGCAGAGACAGAGATGAGCTACCTCAAACACTCCAACCCCTCAAAAAAAAATGTGGATTCAGTCTCAGATATTCTCAGCATCTGGGGTGGTTTGGCTCCAGATTTTAGTCTGGGCTCTTACCACCACTGAGTTTTGCTGGCATTTCTCCTCATTAGTTCAGGTCCTTAAGAGCTCTTCTGACTGTGGATCTCCATCTGGGTCTCCTCCACAGGTGCTCCTAACATTTCTCTGAGGTTTGGAGGTCAGGAAGGATGGGCAGAGTCAAGGTGAGATGCTTCTCACTTAATTTTATCTAAAAGATTGGCCCAGAAACTGTATGAAAAGATGGGTTTGAATTTAGATTTCCCAAGTGGCAGGCCAGTATGCTAACTGTTGCATCATCCTTCCCTCATCCTCAGGCTGAAGGCAAGCTCTAGAAATAAGTGAAAATGTGTCATGATAAAGCCAATAACTAAGAGAGGAGCATAAGTCAAGGGTCATAAGCAAAAGGAAGCTGAAGTGTTTGGCTTCCCTTTTCTTCATAAGACATTTTATTGCAGTTTTCTTTGACCCTTTCCCACTGGGAGCATTCTTCCGTTCCACAAACAGGTTCTTTCAGAGCAGGAAGATGACCTTCCTGCAGAAGTGGTCTCACAGGGCTTAACAATGCTAAGTAATTAAACAGCTGTATCATCTGCTTGTGAGTGTCAGCTCTTGGCCAGTTTCTGGGATCCTGTTTGGATGCCTCTGGGCTGTCCCCAGGACCCCACTGGAAACGGGCTGCAGTGGGGGCCCTGGGGATGGCCTCGGTGGGAGGCTGCTGGCTGGCAGGATCTGGGCTGGGTTGTCAGCCCCTTTCCCAACCCCACGCTCAGCATGGAGATTATGAGGTGGCATGACCTCATGATCTGGGGCTCTGCTGACTCTGCAGCTGAGCAACAGCCCCGTGATATGGAAACTGTCCAAAATGCCCGTGCTGCTTCCCATTTCCCTCCTCTGCAGTCAGAGCTGTAGTGAAGGACCTTTGTGAAATGCTAGTGGAAAGAGAATGCTTTTGGGTTAGGTGTCCTCAGTGCCATATTTTGCTTCCTTTTCAGTACCAGAGTTCCTCATGCTAATGAATTTTGGGTGGGGTAAGCAGTTAAAAAATTAGAGGAAGTTTAGGAGCCAGAGCTAATGCAAAGAAGCTGTTGTGCTGTGGTATAAAGCCACTTCAGGGTAAAATATGAAAAGGGTTTTGGCCAGTTGCATTTCCTCTTATCTCCCTTGGAGAACACACCAGGACAAACACTTCCCCTGTGCATTAGCATATCACACACTCACAGATGGGTGTTCTATGTTTTGTCTGGTCAGCTGCAGTTCATAGAAGTCATTCCCAGAGCTTTGAGAGGTAAGGCCTGATTGTGTCTCAACTGGTTGAGTCCTGGCACCATTACTGAGCTCTGTCAGCAGTCAGCACTGGGAGCTTCCTCAGCCAACCCATCCAGCTAACAGCCCCCTCTCTAACCAGAGCCTCCTTCAGACTCATTCCTCATGATATGGCTTCCCCAGAAATATCTGCCTGGGATCCCAGCTTATACTCTGACTCTGCATTGTCCATCTGGTAGGGGATTGCTTTCTTTCCCTCTTGATTTCCTTTGTCTACTGGGCTGCCAGCACAGTGGCCTCAGTCTCCTGGTAGTGCCACATCTTTTAGCACACACATGCTGAAAGCTGCTGGCTGGAACTGCAGAATGAAGAATGAAGCTGGTAGCTACATTTCCTATGGTTATTCAGCTTCTCTGCCAGTGACCCCTGGAGTGAACCTGCTGTGAATCATACTTTCTTCACAAGAAGATGTTCCCTCACTACCTGCTCTGGTCGTTTCACAGGGGAGTTTGGGTCAGTTCGAGAGGCACTACTAAAGCTAGATGATGGCTCTTTCCAGAAAGTGGCAGTGAAGATGCTGAAAGGTAAGTGGGAGATCTGTCCTGTTCTCCAGCAAACATCCCTTGATGCTCTTTACTCCTCTCTGAACTTCCCACTCAGTTGCCCTACCCATGTTGTCTCCCACCCCCTTCGTGTCAGCCTTTCTGTAGTGGAAGCTCTTCAGGGAAGGACCTCTACCACCTTAGTTACTTGTCCAGCACCTAGCACGTGGTCAGTGCAACCAAAACCAAATCCTAGCTACAGCTGCTTCTGCATGTAGAGGATCTTGTTCAGCTGCTTGAATCCACACAGCACTGCATCGTGTGGCCCAGACAGCCCAAACAGGTCTGCTTTCCCCTCGTAATTCAGCAGGGAAAGACTGTGTCCTCCAAGCATCTATCCCAGAATAAACAGAAGTGTTTGGCCTGAATGCAGCAACAAGCTAACTCATGTCAGTCAGGCATTATTTGAGTAAGTAATTTAGCTCCCTTCCCATTTGTCATTTGGTGAGTGTACATAACGAGGGCAACTAACACATTCATCAGGCAGAAACCTGTAATAAGAGAAGCAATTAATAGATAGGTATAAATCCAAGTATGTACATATATTTATGTGTGTATATATATATGTTAAATCATGTTATTTCACCCCTGTTATTTACCTATGTAGCAAAAATTCACTGACTTAAAGCAGGGTCACATTCACTTATACCTGGAGCTGAGTTTGGCTGCCACAGAATGCCAGTTTGTACTAAATATACCAGTATCACATTGGTGTAGGGCATCATTTAATCCAGTTTCAACAATAATTCTAATTAGTTTGCAAGGTTTTGTGTAGTCAGACTGTCTACCTGCAGGCATCTAACTTGGGAATGCTCTGTCACCCTCCAGAGGCATCTTCCTTTCTTCATTGACTCTATAAATCTAATTTTGTCTGAATCATATTTAAATTACTTGCCTGAAGCAGGCAGTGTGAACACCCTGCTGCAGGTCTGAGTCTGATCTTGCAGTAGGAGTGGAGGACTCGGTGAGGGAAGTAGTCCACTGGGCTAGTTCTTGGTTATATTAATATACCTCCATAAATTGGGAGTAATAGAAGTGAGAAATTACTTACTCCAAATTTATGCTGATGTATGTCACTGCTGAATTGGGTCCAAGCTCTCCAGCAGTGTGGTTACTTAAGAAATCTTGACTCTAACACCCTAGAAGACTCAATCATGTGAAGAGATGTAAAAGTATTGCTCTTCCACATCATCCTCATCAGAGATGAAGTGGGGTCTGCCACGCCAGCGGGGGGCTCCAGGCCAGCCCCTCAGTTTCAATGTTTTCTTTAATTTTGTGTGATTGTCTTCTCTCCCTGACATTGTAGTTTAGGTCCTCTTAGCTAATGAATTTCTAGGTCTTTAACCCATGCATGATTTGCATGGGTTCCTAGGGAAGTTGTTCCTGAGAAAAGAGCTGCTAATCAGCAGCTCCCTACCCTGCCAAGAACCAATTTACCAGATGTCCTTGATGCGTGCTGACTACCACCCATCCCAGGAGAAGGTGTCAGGCTCTGCTTTGTTGTAAACTGGCTCTTCTAGCTCTAGAGCTGAGAGAATGTGCTGTGCCACAAAAAAAAAAAAAACACAAGCTTCTGATTATCATAGTCTGTCAAGTCCCTCGGAGCCACCCACAAAAGAAGAAAACTTCTGGTGGTTTTTTTTCCAGCGGACATCTTTACCTCCACCGACATCGAGGAGTTCCTGCGGGAGGCTGCGTGCATGAAGGAGTTTGACCACCCCCATGTCACTAAACTGATTGGTAAGCAGCACTGCTCTGGTGGCCCAGAGCACCTCCTGCTCCTGCACAAACCCCACACGGCCCCACGTGCACCCCCTCACTGCTGCCCAACGGCAGTGCTGGTGCGGCCACCTCCATCCTGCCTGGAGCCCTGCATGCACCAGCAGTGCTCCTCCCAGGCCCAGAGGCAGCTGGAGTGTCAGTGCTCACAACACTGTCCCTCCTGCACCAGTAATAAGTTCAGCTTGGAGAAGAGAAGGCTCCTGGGAGACCTTACTGGAGCCTTTCAGCATCTCAAGGGGGCCTACAAGAAACCTGGGGAGGGACTTTTTACAAGAGTGATGGGACGTGGGTTTCAAACTGGTAGAGGGTAGATTTAGATTAGATGTGAGGAAGAAGTTCTTCATCCCAAGGGTGGTGGGACACTGGAACAGGTTGCCCAGGGAAGTTGTGGATGTTCCTTCACTGAACATGTTCAAGACAAAGTTGGATGGGCCTTGAGCTTGAGCAGCCTGGTCTAGTGGGAGGTGTCCCTGCCCTTGGCAGGGGGGCCCGAACTAGATTATCTTCA